CATAATGTATCTTAGTTTTATGTAGGAAATCAGACTATAAGGCAATGAGCTATGGTATTAAGACAATGAAAAGGGGAATGAATTTTGTAATAAATGTGTTGAAAAGACTGATTAGTAATTTAAAAAAATAAATATATATTGACCCTTACAACAACTCTGGGATGCAGGCAGGACAGATCACATTATCTTTATTTCACAAACCAAGGAAGATGAGTCCCTGGCCCAGGGCTTTGTGTCCATTCTTGACCTCTGAGTCACAGCCTCTGGGAGGTTCCAGGTTTGGACACTACTCAGAGGACCAGTCCTTTGGAGGCAGCCTGGGATCTTCTCTAACCCGGGTCCCTGAGCAAGAGACTGAACCCAGACACATAGGTCCTAGCCAACAGCCCATACACTCACAGAGCCTTAGCACAGGCAAGGGCTCTTTCTGTGTAATTCCCTACAATACTGCTCACTGAGCTTCCATAATGAAGCTATTTTACATGCAATCTACTCCTTTTACACAGTGAGGACCAATTGTTTTAACAACGAATCTACAAGGCATTGATAATTATCTATCTATTTATCCATCCATCCATCTATCATTTCTTAGCTCTGCTCAACAGCCTAGCAACGATACCCGAGTAGCAATGAGCACACCTGACCCCAGATCTTGTTTTTTAAACGTTGTCTCCTACAAAACGAAACCAGGGCTTCCTGGAGGAACTGATGATTCCAGTACTTCCAGCACTTTGACAGGAAAAGTTTAAGGTGAGCCTGGAACAAACATCTCTTTCCAGACAGCAAAGAAGAAATGAAAGATTACTGAGGTGAAGTCAAAAGAATGCAGATCTGCAGATTTTAAACGTTCTCATCACAAGAAAAAAAAATTTTGTAACTATGTGTGGTGACCATTTTGCAATATATACACATATCAAATCATGTTTACACCTAAAATGAATACAATGTTATATGTCAATTATATCTCCTCCCCCAAAACAAAACCAAAACCAAAACACAGGAGCAGACCTGAAGGGACTCTCATTGGCCAAATTTGGGATAATTTGAACACCAAAAAGATTAATGATGATAATAGGTTATAACACATTGAGTTAAAAAAAATAATCATGAGTCTATGTTACTCCAAAAAGAAAAAAGAGAGGGACAGGAGAGGGAATGAGAAAGACAAACACACACACACACACACACACACACACACACACACACACACACACACAGAAAAAGTTATTCTGTAACAAAGAATACCAGCTAAGAAGTATACAAAGAATGACATAATTAGCAAATTACCATTTTGCAACCCTCAGTGTTGCTATTCTGGCAAGGATCATCAACAGATGTGGAGTGAAAGGTTATCCTGGACACAATTCCGACAGTTTCAAAGAATCACTCTACAGACTACTTGTTCTTTACAAGAGGAAAAAACTTACCCTTTTATAGAGAGATCAGGCTGTTACCTTATCCAATAATCAAACAGCATTCATGGATAGTAGGACTCTGGTATCATATGCCTCCTAATGTGATTCAGTAAGTACACAACATTGCCAGAAAAAACAAAAACAAAAAACCAAACTGAACCCAATTATTTATAAAATAAGTTTAAACAGGTAGAGGGGCTCTATCTAGATTAAATGAGTTGCTTAAAGAGATATAATTAAATGCAATGAATGAATCTTGACTGTATCTGATTAAAAAAATATATGAGATTTTTTTGGCAGTTGGAGAAATTTGAATCTCAACTGTTTATTAGACAATATTGAGTTCTTGCTAATTTTCTTAGGTATGATACTGGTGTTATGGTTATGTTGCAACATGTTATAATTAGGAGATACACGCTGAAGAATTTAGGGGCCAAGTGTGGAGATGCCTATAACTTTTCAATAGCTTAGCAAAAATTGTGCGTGTGTAAAAGCGAAACTGGCAATGTGAATCGGTGCATCCAGGTGAAAGGCTATTCTTTAAACTTGTCTGTAGGCTTGAAAATTCTGAAAATATTTTTATTTTGAAGGAAGGGGCAAGAAAAGAACACTTGCCTCCTGGGACTGTAGATGTAAAGTTCCAGTCAGTATGCCCGGCCCCAGTAAATAGCCAGATTCCATGAATATTAGATGTTGTTACTACCACTAAGAAGCATTAACATCTCATGATCTTCTCCTGACGTCTCAGCGCTCTGGAGAAAGCCAACCAGGGCTTAGCTAAAGTAGCCCGCAGTCGGTGGAGGGGTTAGAATTTAAATCCGAGTGGTCTTTCTACATAGACTAAACCCCCCACAGAAACCACAACACTAAGCCTGCCTGTCTCCATGCTGAGATCCAGGCTGGGAGAAGATGGCTGTTTAGGACTTGTTTCCCCTGCTTTCTCCTGAACCCAGAGTCTCTGCTACTACAGCAGAAAAGAAACTCCTGTCATGGCTTACCAAGAATGTTAACAAAGAGGGGCCACTTCTGGCCCTCAAAGATGTGGATGGGTAGAAAGAACTGTAGGGGCTTTGGGGGGAGAGGAAAGTGCATGGGCTTTGGCATCACCTGGGCCTACGTTTGAATCAGGCTCTGCCCCTTTATTAGCTGTGTGGCCCTAGACCAATTCTTGGGCATATGATGGTGATCATAACAACAACAATAGCAGTAATAAAAATGGCTGACATTTACTGAGCAGTTACTATTGTGCTATGCACTTTATGCATGTTAATCTCATAGATAAAGGTGCTTATTATTATCCCTACTTTATAGACCATGCCAGGCCCTCTCCTATCTCTGCAGTTTGGCATCTGCTATCCCTCTGCCTGCACTGCAAAGAAAATGCCAGTCATCTGCCAGGCCCCTCAGCTGCAATTCATTCTTCCCTTCTTTGCATCTCCAGAGCATTTTATTCTCACTCCTTACCAAGGCCCACTTTCCTTAAGTAAATGGGTGCCTGGTCACCCTGTTAGGACAGGGATCTCCCCTCTCTGTACCCCAAGAAGTAGGCAGGCAGGGGAAGGGGGACAACTCCTCCCATTTAGTCAGATCCATTTTCCTAGTCCCAGACTCTCATCTACCAATAGGGAGGTTTACCAATCTCTCCTGAATTTTTAAAACTTTTTATTTTGAAATAGTCTCTTGAATTTTTAATTTGGAATCTGAGGCACAGGGCAAGGCCCAGGTAATTACGTGGAAGTAAATATAGTGTGTAGGGGATGGACAGAGCATAGTTGGCTAAATTTCAAGGATGACAACACTTCAAGTGAGTAACGTGTCTCCCAATAAACTGGAGCCGTCTTCCCCACCTTACACAGCCCACCAGATACAGACTCTGGCACACAGCCCACCAGATAAAGACTCTGGCTCACAGCCCTGGGTACTGTCTGGGGGCACCACCCTTCCTGGCCTCCCCCAACACCCAAGAGCTGTATCTTTAGCCCTGTTTTGCCCAGTTCATATCTCTAAGACGCTCACAGCCTGCTCCATTATGCCCACACCACAGAGAGAAAAGGTGCTTCCCAGACTCAGGTGACACACATGGACCCGTAAAGGAGTTGGCCAACTGGGAAAAGTGGGCTGGAGAAGGGAAGCCACCTGACCTGGTTTGCACAGCAAAGTATTCTTTCATCTGGTGCAGACTTCCAATAACTATCACCATCCCCCACCCTCTTCCAGAATTTTCCTTCATCCTCTTGGCTCACCCTCAGGCTTCACCTTGTGGTTTTCCTCAGGCCCAAGCACCTCATTTTGACCACTCTTCCTTATGGTCTTCCTGTTCCTCCCAACAAGGATAATTTATAAACAAATGGCTTTCAAACCCATCGCCTCATTTCATCCTAACAATAAGCATAGGAGGGTTGCCTTAGGTTGGCACTGAGAAGGGGTTGAGGAAGATGATCCTGTCACACAACCTGTTAAGGGCAGCACATGGACACTTTCGTCTGTTCCCTGCCATTCACTACAGATTAAACCTCTACCTCCGTGCAGTGCAGGGAAAAAAAGCGGGCTCTTTGGAGTAAGGAATCCTGGGTGGCTTTAGGCAAGTCACTTTACTTCTCTGAGCCTCTGGTTCCTCAACTGTAAAGAGATATGGTGCCGTCTTCACAGGGTGTGAATTGAATGAACCCATATATGTGACGCAGAGTTCATGGGATGGGCTCTTTACTTCTAGTCACAAGGAAAGAAAGGTGTTCTGTGCATCCACAGGCATTTACCCATTCGGGCAACCTCTTACCCAAACCATATCAGCGCTGCTGACACTGGGCTTTCCAGGGCCGAGAGGGATACTTTGCATCTTTGCGTCTCCACCCCTCCCTCCCCAATGCTTTTCGGCCCGTTCCACCCAATCCATCCCAGGCTTGCCTCATTGGCTTTCTCAGCATCCACTCTGCAGCCCCTTCTCCGATCTCACGCGTGTTCTCCTTATCTAGAGACCCCGCCCCTCCATGCCCCACCCACCAGACTCCTCCCCCAGTCTCGGCCCTTATTATCCGGGCTTTTCTTACTATCACCAGCCATCCAGGCTCCTTCCACCCGCTCCGCCCCTTTTTCTCCATAAACGTCCCCTCCCCCCAAGCCACGGGCGTTGCTATCCCCATTGCACAGATGAGAATGGCGAGGCTAGGGTAGGCTAGATGACCTCTCGGGGTAGGACAGGTGCCCAGGTGGGCCGTTCCCTCACCAGCAGTCCCTGCGCCCCGTGCCCCCGGCCGCGCCGCACCCACCTCCTGCCCTCGCTCGGCAACCTCCCCTCCGCGGGCGGCCAGCGCAGCTTTGCGAGGGGGGCGGAGGGCCGGAGCCCAGCCTAGGGGCGTGGCGGCCCGGGACCCGCGCGCTGCGCTCGGGAACTTGTAGTCCTCCATGGGCTCTTTGCAGCTCGGCGCGTCGACTTCGAACTCCATCTCCCAGGAGGCATTGCAGTTAGCCGTCCAGCTCCCACCCCGCCCCCGCCAGCGTTCAGGCCGGCTGGCCTTAAAGGGGACGCGGCCCTAGTGGCTGCTCGCGGGGTGGCCCCCGCTCCGGCTCCGCCCCGTTTCCCGCACCTCGCCCCTCCCCCCCAGTTCGTCCCGCAGCCCAGTGGCCGCGCCGCTGAGTTGGGCTCCCCTGTTCCAGACTTGTGCAGAGCGGGTGGAGAGGTTGGGCTTTTCAGTGGAAGCAGCATCCCTGTCGTCTGGGACCTGGCGGAGGGCGTCTCCACTCTGGGGGAAGCAAAGGACCCGCCCTGACCTAGCCTGGCCCAGCCTGGTCCTGCCCGGCCTGAGCGCCCCGCCCAGGAGCTGACTCTGAGGCAGGGGCCACTGGGGTTCCAGAGGTAAGGGGGCTGGGGCGTGTGTGTAGCTTGTGGGGAGGGAGTGACTGCACCCAGATGGTTCGAGAGCCGGGACGCGCGCGTAGGGCTTTTAGAGTCCGGGGATGGGAAGCGGGAGGTCTAGGTGCATACTGGGCCTTGCTGTGTGACCTTGGGCGAGTAGCTGCCCCTCTCTGGGCCGCAATCTCCTTCATCAATTGTGTATATAGAGATACCGCCCCTGCCCCCGCCCCCCTCAGGGCTGAGGGCACTGGCGCCCAGTGTCATGAAGCTCGCCAGCCTTTCGTGGGATCCGCAGCCCCAGTCTGGGCTGGGAGCGGGTGCACTGGTATAACTGGAGGGAGGGGTGGGGTCGAGCTGGGGTGCAAACTGAGGGGCCAAGCGGCCGCCTCCGCTTGGAATGGGCTTCTGCTATTCTCAGCATCCTCGGCCAGGGCGTACTCCCCCTACAAGAACCCTTGCGAACAAGAGACCTCGATGTGTCAGCCTGGTGCCCGCCCTTCCAGAAAGCCTGGGATGGGGGTGGGGACACGGGCATCAGAGGTATGTGAGGGGTGGCCCCCATTGGGGCTGGCTTCCTGAGAAGCGAATATATGCTCCCACCTTCTTCCCTTCTCCTCAGTTCTCCTTCGGTAAAAGGGCAGTTGGGTTTTACTAGTAACCTTCCCCCACCCCACCTTTTTTTTTTTTTTTTTTTTTTCTTGCGACAGTTTGGCCCAAAGGAGTGCCTCCCAGTAGTATGGCGAGGGGATCCTTCCTGGGACTGCCTTGGGTAGAAGTTCAGTTAAAAAATACAGAGAGAAATGCTGCTGACTAGAGACCTGGGGGGACGAGGGATGGAGGGACTTCTCAGTGTCAGGAGGCACAGCCTGGTACTCCCCCCACCCCCTGCCCATCCCAGGCAGCCAGGCAGCTCAGGCACCCAGGGGAGTCAAAGGAGGGAGACTGGGTGTGAGGGTCAGAGAGGAAAGGAAATGGGCTCCTCATTGCTAGGGCTTGGAGGAGCTGCTGTGCTCTGGGGTGTGGAGAGATTGTGAGCCCTTGAAGCCCCCTCCCCTGTCCCATGAAATTCTGTGAACTTTTGACCTGAGGGTTACCAGGAACAGGTTGGTTGGTTTGTTGTTTTCTTTTTCTTCAGCTTTGGTTGTTTGAGTCCTTTCTAGAATAGCCCATCCAGTGACCTCTGTAGGGGCTTTCTTGGCTGATGTTTAAGATTCTCAGGGTGATGGATATGCAAGACCAGATCTGGGCAGATGAGGGGGCAGTGACCGGACCAAGGGTTAGGCCAGTCCCTGGAAGGTGCTTTTCTGATCATATCCTTGGTTCTATCTCATCTTGCTGTCACATGTCTCTCGGTCAGTTGGCACTCCTTCACCTCTGTGCCTGGTCCTGTGCTGGGCACTGGGCACAGATGGGGGACCGGACCTACTTCCTACCAAAGGAGATCCCGGCCTGGTGGGGGAGATGGGCATAGAATCAATCCAGTTACACTGCCCAGGGATGAGAGAAGCGAAGAGGTCCTTTGGAAGCCAAAGCCCAAAGATTGAGTTGCAGGGGGATTTGGAAAGGCTTCCCAGAGGAGGGGGCATGTGACCTGGGTATTGAAGGATGAGTCAGAATTTGCCAGGAGAGAAGAGGAAGAAGCCCTTTCTCAGCAGAGAAAACTTCACCGAAGTGTTGAGCAGGAAAAAGCCCACGGCTCAAATTCCTGTAGATTCACCACTGAGTGGAGTTTGTCAAGTTCATCTCCCACCTGCCCCTTTATTAGTTTAGTGTCACAGAAAGGACTTGAATGTCAGGCTCGGGAGTTTGGACCTTATCCTGAAGGGGCTGGGGGGCCTTGAGGGTTCTGAGCAGGGGCATGGCAGGATGGAGTTTATTGTCTAGTGAGGTAATCTGATGATATTTGCAGGGTGTGTCGGAAAGACCAGGGGGGGATGGGGAAGTCTGAGCTGGGGCCCAGGGAGGGAGTGAGGCAGGACATTGGAGCTGTTCACACACACACACACACACACACACACACACACACACACACGGTGCTTTGGGGGTGATGGGTGATGGAGATTGAATATAGTCAGGCTCTACTATGCAGGAACAGAGACCTGTCAATATACAGTGGAAAGGTGGAGGGTCATTTGAGAGGGACAGTTAAAGGGATCTGAGCCTTCCAGGGGAGGGATCATGATTTTCTTGTGTGCTAACTGTGCGTCCTGGAGCGGACTGGGTGTTGCTGGGACTCCCAGGCTGTCATGTCAGCAGTGAGAGATATAAGCCAAGGGTGTGGGAAGGAGCCGCAGCACTGGCTGGGAAAGGCTAAGGGGTGGGCAGGTGATCATCTCCCATTCTGGGGTTCAGAGGCTCTGAGAGGTGGAAAAACACCAGCATTGATGGTTGTGGCCACAGTGGGGGTAGTGGCTGGACTAGATTTGAAGCCTGGACTCTGTACTCCTGCAGGACACATGTCTCTAGTGGAGGATAGATTGAAGAGGGGAAAAAGGAGATTGGTTAAGAGGCTTCTGCGCTAGTCCAGGCCAGAGGTAAAGAGGAGCTGATCTTGGGTGGGGCTGGAGCTCAGGGGAGAGAGTAGAAATGATGAGTTGGCTTTGAGGGCTAATGGATGAAATTCCTTGTAGAATCAGCTGGATCAGGAGTATGTGTCTCCTTGTCTTCTTCCCGGACTGTGTCGGTTTTGCCTCTCAGTGCCAGATGTCCCAAGAATAGACTCTTACCTATTCTTATCTATTATCTGGCCCTTATCTTTTTTTTTTTTTTTTTTTTGGCTGCAACCTTGTGTCTTGAGGGATCTCAGTTCCCCAACCAGGGATTAAACCTGGGCCATGGCAGTGAAAGCCCCGAGTCTTAACCACTAGACCACCAGGGAACTCCCTGCCCTTATCTTTTTTATACCTTGTCTCAACCTCATCAGTGGTAGGCTCAGAATGGTCCCTGTTTTCCAGATGAGAAGGCTGAGGAGTCCTAGCAGGGACTCACCCAAGGTCACCTGGTGATTCTGAAAGCAGAGAACCTTAGTCTCCTGCTTTAACGCAGGCTTTTCCGAGGGAGGACATGGCTGCTGTTCGCTGCTGCACTTGGCATGGGGCAGCTGTCTCTTGGGTCAGAGCCAGTGTCGACAGGCCATCTCCTCATCCAGAGCCTAGAAGGAAGGGTAACCCACCCTCCCCTGAGGAGCACTGGGGGTCTGCTTCTTCCTCCCCTAGAGAGGATGAGTGCAGGTTCTAGTCCCACCCTGCCAAGGCCGTGTCTTTCTCCCTTGTTGATCCTTGGCTTCTCCATCCATGCCGTGGGGAGAGCAGGCATTGTTCTGCCTCCCTTCCGTGGCCTGGGATGGGTCAGGTGAGGTCCACTCCTCTAAAAACCCCTTTGCATGAATGTATCCAGGATATTACTGAGTGGGTTTGTTGGTGACCATGGTGACAGCTGACCTCAAACTGCTTGCGTGGGAGTGGGGGCAGATAGGCAGGGCTTGCTGGAGTGGTCAGGCCACAGACTACACAGAGGCTGCAGGGCTGGCCTCGGAGATCAGAGCCCTCACAGAATGGCTCCACTGACCAAGCTCCCAGCTGCCAGGCACAGACCACCTTATGTGATAGGTATCAGGTAGAATGATAGGAGATTGCCAGCATCTGATCCCTCCCTTTGATGTGGTTCAGCCTGATATCATTTATCCCCATTTTACAGAAAAGAGGCTCACGATATTATGTGCTCAAGGTCACACAATGAGTTGCAGGACTACATGGGATTTACTCCAGGTCACACTAGAATGCAGGACTCCTCATTCCTAGTCTGATTTTCTTTCCACTTCAAGAGCCTTCCTTAGCCCCAGAACTCCATTTCTGCCTGCCCCCAGGTCCTCTTCCTCCACACATGATGTCAATATCTCATTGATTAGGATTTCTCCTAATAGAGGCTCAGAGAGCATAAGTAAGCTGGATGGTAAGCAGAATGCATCCCGGTTGAATCTCAAAGAATAGAGTCTAACATCGTTCCAAGCTTGGGGTGGGCCCTGGGCATATGAACTTGTATTAAGTGCTCAGGTGATTCTGAGGCAACCAGGCCAGCATTCAGGAGCCACTGATCTGTGCCCTGGCTACACCGTCTAGCCTTACTCTGCAGTGACTGGCCAGCCATTGAAAAAGAAGCCTGGTACCTGCCCCAGGGAGCTCACAGCCTGGTGAGAGAGAGAGAAACAAATGTGCCCATTGCATTGTAACACACGCAGTAATGGAGGTTTAATCTCGGTGGAGAGCTAGGACAGAGAAGGGAGTGTCTCCATAGGGCCTGGCACATATTTGGGGTCCCACAGTATCTATGGTTTTGCATAAAAGTTTCTGGCCCATCATCTAGGAAATTTCTGGCTTGTCTTCACACCTATTCCAGGTCTTAACTGTAGAGTAGTTTTCACTGAGACAATAAGTTTAATTAAACATTTAGCGTATACTGAACCTTATATTGGGTCCTGCCTAGTGCGGGATTATAGAAGGAAGCAAAGAAGTGGTCCTGCCTTTTAGGAGCTGAACCTGTGGGAACCAGCATGAGAATCAGGAATCAAAGTGGGTCAGCTTGGGACGAAGTTTTCCAAAAAACAGCTAAAGTGGAGTGGAAGGACAGAGGGAAGTATATTATGGCTCAGAGGAATAAGGTAGCAGTAACTCACACCACACTCTGCATTTGCTTATTCAACAAATGCCTACTGTGTGCCAGGCACTGTGCGAGGTGCTGGGGATACTGTGGTGAACAAAACCTGACTTGGTTCCTGCCCTCAGGAACCTATATAGTATAGTGGAGGAGGATGACCCCAATCAAGTAATCATGATAAGTGCTATAAAGGAGGACAGGATGCTCTGAAATTGTTAACAGGGGTGTTTGACCCATACAAGGAGGTCAGACAGGCCTTCTGTGTGGAAGAAGTTTGAGCTGAGCTCTGCAGGGTGAGCCAAGCAAGGAGGGGAGGGAGAAGTGAGTGCAAAAGCCCGGGGCAGGGAGGACATAGTGAGCCCACAGTGAGGGGCTGGTGTGGGCTGAGGCTTGGGAGGCGACAGGGCCTGCCTGTGCAGGGTTGAGCACAGAGATGAGATGATCTGCCTTAGTGGAGGAGATTCGGACCCGTACAACTCCGCACTATGTGATCCCAGCTGCAACAGAGGAAGAGGCCACAGGTGGCTGTAGGAGTCCAGATGAGGGATGAATTCATGCCTGGAAGTCCAGGGAGGTTCTCATTAAGGATTGGGTGTTTGAGGTGGGCTTTAAAGGAAAGTAGGACTTTGCCTGGTTGTATGAATGTGTGTTAGTGGTGGAGGTCTTGGGAGATAGGATGTTTCAGGCAAAAGGCACAACGAACACAAAGAGGAAAAGGGTAGGTCATTTGAGAAAGAGCAAGAAGCTGATTGGGGGCAGAATAAAGTGCACCAGAGATCTCTGGAAGCCCTGTCAGCCCTTCCTTTCTGGAGGTGTGATTTGTGTATGTGCACAGCTCATCTCCCCACAGGACATGGCTTGGCCAAGACCGTGGACAGCAGCTTCTAGATGCAGCTCTTACCTGCCTCGCCAAGAACCGATGGAGGTCCCCAGGGAGGCCTGAGGAGAGAGGGGCAAAGTGGTGGAGGAGGGGAAGGCTCAGGTGTAGGCTTTGTGAGATGAAAGGCGCTCATCAGCAATAACTGCAACCCACTGGGGCTTATTTTATGCCAGGCATTGTGCTTCTCCTCATCACGTCACCTCCGGGGGAGGTAGGATCCTTGCCCCACTTCACAGATGGGGAACTGAGGCCCAGAGAGGTTGAGCTGCTTGCCCCCAAGCCTCAGCACGCAGGGGACCACGTGGGGGATCGGTCCTGTCGGGCAGAGTGTGACCCTGCTCCCTGTCCCCTGCAGCGTGGCCGCCATGGACAAGATCTTGGAGGCGGTGGTGACGTCATCATACCCCGCGAGCGTGAAGCAAGGGCTGGTGCGCCGAGTGCTGGAGGCGGCGCGGCAGCCGCTGGAGCGGGAGCAGTGCCTGGCGCTGCTGGCGCTGGGCACGCGCCTCTACGTGAGCAGCGCCGATGAGCTGCCCCGCCGCGTGGGCTGCCAGCTGCTGCACGTGGCTGGCCGCCACCACCCAGAAGTCTTCGCCGAATTTTTCAGCGCACGCCGAGTGCTGCGCCTGCTTCAGGGGGGCGCCGGGCCGCCGGGCGCCCGCGCGCTGGCCTGCGTACAGCTCGGCCTGCAGTTGTTGCCCGAGGGGCCCTCGGCCGATGAGGTGTTCGCGCTGCTGCGGCGCGAGGTGCTGCGCACCGTGTGCGAGCGCCCGGGGCCCGCGACCTGTGCGCAGGTGGCGCGGCTGCTGGCGCGGCACCCGCGCTGCGTCCCCGACGGCCCTCACCGCCTGCTCTTCTGCCAGCAGCTTGTGCGCTGCCTCGGCCGCTTCCGCTGCCCGGCCGACGGCGAGGAGGGTGCCGTGGAGTTCCTGGAGCAGGCCCAGCAGGTGAGCGGGCTCCTGGCGCAGCTGTGGCGCGCGCAGCCCGCTGCCATCCTGCCCTGCCTCAAGGAGCTGTTCGCCGTCATCTCCTGCACAGGTGCGTGTGTGATAGGGGTGGGCGGGACCCGTGCGTGCGGAGTCTCCTGTGTGGCGTGCCCACCTCGTGGTGTGGCGTGTGCATGCTGGTGCACAGGTGTGTGTGTGTGTGTGTGTGGGCGGGTGCTGTTACTTCGTTTAGTTATTAGGCCCCTTCTGAGCTCCTGCCGGGTGGGGGGCTCTTATCCGGTGGTGCCTGCTGGGCATGCAGAGAGGAGGGGACCCAGATCAGTCGGGCCTGGAGGAGGACCAGGGGGCTGAGACAACAAGATGTGGGGTGGTCATCATGTCCTTTGGGTCAGGTGGGTTTCGTAGAAGTGATGACTTTTGAGTCAGGCCTTGAGAGCTGGGTAGCACCAGGCAGCAGGGATAAGGTACTCAGGGCAGGCAGAGTGGAAGGTCTGGAGACATGATAGAACCTATATGTGTCAACTGAATTGTAAATCTTGGCCCTCCGTTGACAACTGTGGAAATTGGACTGTAGTTTAAGTGACTGAAATAAAATCTGTGCCTTCCCTGATTATAGGGCTGTTCAGGGGAAAGTAAGGGAATGTACCTGGCAGGAGGAAGGACCAAGGCCAGGTGTATAAGGACCTAGGTCTTTATACAACTGGACAACAAATTTTGATAACTAAATTTTTTTTTTTTTTTTTGCGGTACGCGGGCCTCTCATTGTTGGGGCCTCTCCCGTTGCGGAGCACAGGCTCAGCAGCCATGGCTCACGGTCCCAGCCGCTCCGTGGCATGTGGGATCTTCCCAGACCGGGGCACGAACCCGCGTCCCCTGCATCGGCAGGCGGACTCCCAACCACTGCGCCACCAGGGAAGGCCGATAACTAATTTTTTTTTTTCATCTCTATTGGGTTCCACTTGGAATGTCCTCCCTCCCGCCAAGTCACATAGCCCTCCTACCTGTTCTTGCCAGCTCCAGTGTTACCCCATCTAAGGGTCTATGCCTATACATGCACAGCTGGGGGTTAGTGCTTTTTTCTTTGCCCAGCACAGGGCCAAAGCAGTGCCAGTGAAGGTTTGTTGAGTGAATGAGCTAAGATGAGATCAGAGGCTGGGATGCTATAGGAGGCAAGGAGGTGGCCCTGATGTGCTCTTTGCAGAGGCTCCCTAGTTCCTTGGCAGCATGAAGGACATGTGGTGATAGGGGAGGTGTGGGGTCCACTTGTCCTGCAAAGCTCAGCCCGGGCACCTGTTCCAGAGGAGGAGCCACCATCTAGCGCCCTGGCCAGTGTGGTCCAGCACCTCCCATTGGAGCTCATGGATGGTGTCGTCCGGAACCTCAGCAATGATGACAGTGTGACCGACTCCCAGATGCTGACTGCCATCAGCAGGTGGGCTGAGGGACGAGTGGTGGTCAGGTCTCTCTCTCTCCCAGAAGCCCCTTCCACTGGGTGGGATTGCTAGGCTAGATATAGTGTCAGAGGGCCCAGGCCCTCATGCTTGTTCATTCATCCATCCTTCTTTGAGCCCTTCCTGTGCCTGGCCCCAGGCTGGATGTGTAAGACACAGAGAGCCTTGCCCTAGTGATGCTCTCAGGCTGGGTACCAACTCTGTGACCCTGGACAAGTCAGTGAAGTCTCTGAGCTTCAGTTCTCCCCTCTGTAATAGCAGAGGTGGTATAAGAAGTTGTCATGTTTCCACAGGGTCAATGATAGGAGGTAAAATTACTTTAATGAAGTGCTTTCTGAGTTTGGCAAGTATGATAAACAGAGTTTGGGTGCTTTTCAGCTCACAGAGCTCTTGCACATCCCCCACCTCATTTGAACATCATTGCACCTGTGATCTAGCCACATATGCCTGGCCCGTGATCCCCGAATATGACACCTACCCTCCTGCCTGCAGGCCTTTGGCTCTACAGACCCCATCTACCTGGCATCCCCCCTCCCCCCTGCCATTCTTTCCATACCTGTGTGCAGATCCACTGTCTTCATTGGGCCTTCCTGGATTCCTTGTCTTCAGTGGGTAAGAGTGTAGGCTCTGGAGATAAGCTGTCTGAGTTCAAATCCTGGCTCTCCCACTTCTTGCCTGTGTGACTCTGGGCAAGTTACTCAACCCCTCTATGCCTCAGCTTCCTCATCCATAATTTGTAGTATAATTGAACTCATCTTACAGGTTTGTTGTGAGGATTGAATTAGATAAAATGAGATATTACGTGTAAAGTGCATAGAACAGTGTAATGGTAGCTATTATTACCATAATTACTACTATTTGCTTTGCTCTCTATTGTTCTCTTTATAGCCCAGTCTACTGAATATAAAAATAATGATACTGGTGACGTTTTTCTGAGCACCTACTGTGTGGCAGCTTCATGCTCAGTGCATGCAGGCATTATCTTGAGGGGGTCAGAAGGGTTAATACATGTATGGCAGATGGAGCAGTGCCAGGTACAGAGTGAATATGACATAAATGTTAGCTGTTAGCTGTTGTTATCTCTTTTAACTCATATAACAAACCTGTGAGGTAGGTATTATCCCCATTTGACAGGAAGAAACTGAGGCTAGACAGAGTAAGTGACTTGCTCCAGGTCACAAGCAAGGGTTTGCTGGAGCCAGAGCTTCCAGCCTGGGGGCAGTACTCCTCCTGCCATTGGGCCTCACAGTCCAGACAGAGGCAGCCAAAAGCCCTGTTCTGCCACTGCAACTCACTGTGTATGAGGTGAGGTTGGGAATACTGAGAGGGCCTGGTTCCCCTTCTGCCGGGCTGGGAGCCCCAGTCTCTGCCAGGTGCCTGTGCTGGGCATATTTGCAGTTCCCAGAGGTGTCCTGTTCATCCCACGGATCCCAGGGCTGCCCTGTGTAGGTGTGAGTCAGTGTGGGGGGATCTCAGGTCATTATGGCTGGTCCCTGGGCTGCCCCCTCCCAGGCGTTTGGGCCTCCCTGATCCTTGTGTCACGGTCACTCCCCTCACCAGGATGATCGACTGGGTGTCCTGGCCCCTGGGGAAGAACATTGACAAGTGGATCATTGCACTGCTGAAGGGCCTGGCCGCTGTTAAGAAGTTCAGCATCTTGATCGAGGTGTCACTCGCCAAAATTGAGAAGGTTGGTGGGCCCCTGTCCTAGCCCCGGCTTCTGGCCTTTCCTGCTAGTCTCTTGCCAGGGGCAATGCAGGTCTGGGAGGCAGAGCACGGGGCTCCCACCCAAGCTCGCTGTGACCTGGGACAATTCACTGCTTCTCTCTGGGCTTCAGGTTTCCCCCCATTCATTCTTCTGACTCTTCATTAAAGTGTGTGTGTCTGTCACTTTTGGTATGTCCATCCATCCATCCATCAGATATCTAACTGTTTTGCTGTCCATCTCACCACCCATCCATCCACCCAGGTCTATGAGCACCTCTGTGTTCTTACTCCCACATGGGTCTGCTGCTTTAACTCCAGCATCTCTGGCCCCCTTTCCGGCCTGTGGCTACCCTTGGCCTTGGGTGGCCCAGGCCTGGGGGACTCCTGACCAGAGGCTTTCTTCCAGGTTTTCTCCAAGCTTCTGTATCCCATTGTCCGGGGAGCCGCCTTGTCTGTCCTCAAGTATATGCTCCTGACCTTCCAGCACTCCCATGAGGCCTTCCACCTGGTAAGGGCCCCTGCGTGTTGCCCCGAAGGTGGGCGGTCCTGTGTCCTCCACAGGTCTGGCTGGAGGCCAGACATGCTGTCTCTGTTGGGGCATAAGGGGTTGGGGCTTGAAGCCCAAGACCTCCAAGTCCTGGACGTTAGGACTGGAGGAGACTTGAGACCCAATTTTACAGATAGAAAACTGAGGCCAAAGAATGAGTGTGACCTCCCCATGGGTCCCCAGTAGAGTGACAGGCCTAGAATGATGGCAGCTGTGTTACTTGGGTGCCAGCTATGTGGCAGGCACAGTGCTAAAGACAGTCCACATGTTCATTCATTTTACTCCCGGAGTAGCCCCAAAGGGAGGTTCTATCATTTTCCCCATTCTTCAGTAGAAGAAACTGCAGTTTAGGGAGATTAGGTTGCATGTCCCAGGTAACAGCTGGTGAGCGGTACAAGGAAGATTCCAGCTGAGTTGGTCTGACTCCTGATCCAGTGTCCTTCCTAGCTTCTCATGGTCCTTGGTCACTGCAGAAACTTTATGCTTCCTGATTTGTGCAGTGGGAAAAGCACAGAACCAGGGGTTGGGGTTATGTGGGGTTGAGTCCCAGCTCTGTCATTTACTAGATGGGGTGACCTCGGGCCAGGCATTTACCTCTCAGGGCCTGGGTTGGGTGGGACAGGATTAGATGAGGTGACATTTATTAAGAGCCTGCCATATTCTAGGGACTTGGTAGATATTTATTTCTTTTCATCCTTCTCCCAAGCTCCCCTGCTCCCAGTTTCTGTGGCCTGACTCTTCCATCCCTGGGACACTATGGTGTAGCTCCCCGTGGGTTTGAAAGTTAACACTGTAGCACAGAGGAAAGAAATGGACTTTGAGTTCAGACAGACCTGGCTCAGACACCAGCTTCTCCCAGAACCCATGGTGAAATCCTTGGCAAATTACGTAACCTCTCTAACTTTAATTTTTCTCTGTAAGATGGGGATAGTAATTGCCACATGGCACTGTGAGTGCTTGACATATAAAAGTTTGCTGCCGCTCATGTTCTGTCAGCTGCCACCAGCTGACCACATTGTGGCCCCAGCATCACTCCTGGGTGACAGAGTAGCCCTGGTCACTCAGACCTTCAGGCGCTTCAGGCAGGTTGGTTGGCTGGTACTTAATAGCTGGGGCTCAGGCTCAGGCCTCCCCTGAGCTGTGAGGAGGGAATTATTTGTCCCATTAAACAGATGAAGAGACTGAGGAAGAGTATCCAAGGCCGTGTGTCTTATAAAGAGGGTCACCTGCCTGCAGAGCTCAGGGCCCTGTGCAGGTAAGGGGCCCAGTGGTCAGGTGGGCAGACCTCCTTGCTTCAAGGAGCTCTGGGTGCTTCCAGCACTGACCACCATCCCATGTCTTAGGTGGGTAAACGGGTGCTGACTAACCCTGCTCTGCTCTCACAGCTCCTCCCTCACATCCCCCCAATGGTGGCCTCTCTGGTCAAGGAGGACTCCAACTCGGGGACCAGCTGCCTGGAGCAGCTGGCGGAGCTGGTTCACTGCATGGTGTTCAGGTTCCCCGGCTTCCCGGATCTGTATGAACCCGTCATGGAGGCCATCAAGGTGAGTGACAGTCCCCCCTGCTCCCGTGCCCCACTCTGAGGAGGTTGCTGATTTGGGCTTTGCTCAAGGCCACACTACAGGTTAGTGGCCGCCCTCCATCCTTTGGTCCCTGGCTGTCTCCCATTACCTCCCCCAGCCCATTGTGTGCTTCAGGCGCACTGAGCCACCTGCCATTCCCCCAGATGGATCTTCCTCTCGCGATTGTTCTGAGCCTTTGCATATGCCGATCTCTCTAACTTAAACTCCTGTCTTGTCTGCCTGGATAGCTCTTATTTCTACCAAGCCTTCTTCTTGAAGGTTCTGCTCAAGTGTTTCTCCTTCAGGAAGCCTTCCCTGATAACTCTAAATTACACGCCCCCCGCACTCTGCCCCTCAGCTGGGTCATGGCCTCTCTGAGCTTCCACAGCCCTAGTGTATCCCTCAGTCACACATTGTCACTGTCTGTATGTCTGTTTCCTCTTAGACTGAGCATTCCAGAGCAGAGATGGTTTACAATTGTTCACAAGACTTATGCCCTACTCTGTGCCAGGCCCAGGCTGGGAACTGGGGACACAGGCATGAGGCAGACCACGTCTCCTCCCTTTGAGGAGCTCACAGCGTAGAGGGGTGACTGACGTGTTTACCCGTAACTGTGATCTAAGCAGCTTAAGAAATGCCTGTGAGGGTCAGCCTGAGAGCGGTGAGGCGGCAGAGGAGGGAAAGATCTCCAGTTAGAGGAGGAGGCTGCAAGGAAGAAAGGGCTTCTGAACCGGGCTTGCTGGGTTGCTAGGACAATAACATTTGTAGCTAGAGTCACACTTGGCAGTGTCTTTCCATATATTTTGTCTTCTGTTGCTCACTAGAAACCTGTGAGGCAGGTACTATTGTTATTTCAGTTTCAAAGATGAGGAAAATGAGACTTGGAGAGGTTTGGTGTCTTATGCAGTCACGGAGGTAGTGGGAGATGCAGCCAGGGCTGAGGGTTGCTGAGCCCTTTCCCATTGCTTGATACAGAGGGCAGGTCCAAGTGTGGGTGAAAGACATCCAGGTAAGTGGTGGCCCTTTTAGAACCTCTGGTCAGACTTCCATTTCTGTAACACAGCAGATAGGTAACCTGAGAAGTGTCCCATTACAAAACACCTAGAAATGCTTGTTAAAATGTAACAGATGTCTTTTTAAGTACATAGCTGAGCTTGCAAGAGAGCAAGGGGGAATCCCCAGGAGCCAAAAAGGAAGAGAAAACCAAATTCCAGAATGGTAAATGAGAGGTGATACTCTTTTGCCCTGGGTGGGGAGGGGCAGTGGGTGAGATGGCCAACCTCAGTCCCCAAGGGGCTTGAGCCGGTGGGGACAGGAGTTGAGGCTTAGGGTCTGCCCCCAGCAGGGAATCAGCACTGAGAAGCCCATGTAAATCAGGACCCAAGAAAGGCTTTACCATTAGCAAAAGGGTGTTCTAGAAAAAATACACATGGTTCCAAGTAGACATCAAGGAAGGCTCTCTGGCTTGGTCTGGGCTCTGGATTGGGAAAAAAGAAATTGTCATCGTTGGACTGCTCTCATGTGGGTTTAGGGGTTCAAATTCTTATCTTCTTTGGTGTTGTAGCACCCTAAGCTCATTGAAAATAGTCATAAACTTGTAATACCCAAGGATTGCCTAATAGAAACAGAAATGATACTGCTTTCAAGCCACAAAGATAGAATTCTACTAAAGATGAGTTTATAATCCCCAGATTACAAAACACGTAAGGGAACAATCCACCATGAGTGAGAGGTGATAGATACAATGAACAAAACCTCTGGCATTTACTTGGATTTTCTTAGTTTTTCCAACTTAATGTGAGGAAGAGGTGTTTTTTGTTGTTTTTTTTTAAACAGTCAGAGCTAACTAACAATAGAAGTAGCTGCCTTGCTAGATCATGAGCTCCCTGGCACTGGAGGTGGTTGAGCAGAGAAGATAGGACTTAAACCTGTTGGGAGTGACTGTTACTGTGAGCTTCTGATGGGCAGGGACCATGTCATTTTTATCTCTGTGTCTACTAAATGTCTGAGTGAATGAACAGGACTGTAGTGTGAAGTATGGTATCATGGAGATGTGAGCAAAGAGGAGGGAGCATGGCCCTGCCCTGGGCACCAGGGGAAACCTACGCCGAGTGAGATCCAGGCTTTGCACATTAGAGGCTATAGTCTGATCCAGCGGGCAAGGTGAGTGTGCAGATACTTATACAACTAGGTGTAGGGAGTTAGGCTCTATAAGACAGGTATAGATAGTGTGGGACCCCCACTTGAGAAGATTCTGGAAAGTCTTCTGGAGAGGGGATATAGGAGTTAGGCCTTGAGGGACAGGGACCGGCAGGAGGAGGCCCCCAGCAGGTCAGTGGGTAAGGTGTGGGAGCAGGAATATGCAAGTACTGTTTGGTGGTAAAGTGTGGTGGAGGGGGAGGGAAGAACAGAAGGATAGGCAGAGTGGAAGGTGGTGAAAACCAGGTTGTGTGACTACTTGGTCCAGCAGATCTGGGCTTCTCAAACATTTCTTCTGAAGTGCTTGACCTCAGAGGAGGGGACTCACCCTCCTGCAGCCTGACACAAGCTCAGAGTTTCTCTAAAATCTCATTTTATCTCAAAGATTCAAGTATATACTTCATAATCATAAACACTTGTTTTAATTTAAACATTTTTCTTCCTTGAATATTAGTGAATATAGCTCTAGGAAGATGTGTGACATTTGTCCTATGGCTTTGACTACCCCTTGCTTCAAGGCACTTTGAGAGGCAAGGCAGCAAAGTATTCATGGGGTTTTATTGTTTATAAAATTCTTTCATATGTGTTATAGGAGTACATCCTTTGTATACAGTCTCCTTTATAAATTCTGGAAAGTTCTCTCACTTAGGCAGTTGTAGTAAGTCATGGCAGTTTCTCTGGGAGCTGTGGTCCTTGCTGAGGGAGCTACATGGTATGTAGACTTCCAGTCACATCAGGAGCTTGAAAGGTGTTTGAAAGTTTTTGTTTTATTCTCTTTATTCTCCTAAGAGTACAGAGTTACCTTCTTTGGGAAAAAGCATTTGATTTTTTTTTTTTCTAGTGTGCATATTTTTGTATCTTGTATGCTTGTGTTGCAGGGTGGGGTGTTGGTTCTGTCATTTTTTTTTTTTATCTTTGATTCTTTTTTTTCTTAATTTTATTTTTTTATATATACAGCAGGTTCTTATTAGTTACCTATTTTATACCGGTTCTGTCTTTTTGTCCCTATTTGTTCCCGTTGTGTGTGGGGTGGGGATTGGATAGGGGATAATAGGAAGAAAAAAGAAGGGACTAAGAGAGAAGTTACTGAGCCCTTATCTTCTTATCTTGCCTCAGACAGCTACTATATTTTTTATCATCTGTGAGAGGTGACTGACTAATCTGATAAATTATCTGATAAATAATCCTGGGAATGAGTGAGCAGATGTGTTAAACCACCGCTTGAGCCAGACCTTCTGCAGCGACGAGGGCTTTCAGTGTAAGCTGGTCTGAAGCTCAAGGGCCTTAGACAAATCTAAGAACTGTGCTCAGGATCTGGAAACGAGAATGGGGCTAGAGGAACTGTCATGAATATCGCTTAAATCTACTAAGTAATACTGCATTATGCTTAGGTGTTTTTCCTTAAAACATGTCATTATTAGAACCGGTGCTTGGTAATATTCTTTTCAGTGCAGCTGTTTAATGTGAAAAAGGATAACAAGTGGGAAAGCATGCTAACCCCTGAGCCCGTGACCAAGGACCCATACCACAGACCCCCAGGATCCTCCCACTGTCCTGACTGTAGGATCAAGTTCAGGGTTGGGATAGGGGGTTACTAATTCGAAAAAGCTGACTCCGCAAACTTTAAAGTAGAGGAGGTGAAAACAGGAGCAAGCAACGTGCAAGTATAGAGTACCAAACTGATATAAGGTAGGAGTATCCTCACTTGACAGATGAGCAAACTGAGGTCCAGGGAGGTTAACTGACTGAGTCAGAGAGGCTCACTGACCACAGCCAGAGAGCTGTGAGGACAAGAGTCAGGGCCAGGGTTGAGATCTCGACACTGCTGGATTGGGCCAGTGGGCCAGTGTTGTCACTGCTTACAGTCTGTCACATCCTGGGCTCATGTAACATATAGTAGATTCCTCGCTTATTACCTCTAAGAAAATTCTTTCTCTCTCTGGGTCTTAGTTTTTTCATCTACACGGTGGGGATTTTACCCCTTTCTTAAGGTAGCTGTGGCATGAAAGATCATGTAGAAGGCCCACACGTCAAGATGAAAACCTAGAACATGTTTGAAAGCAAGGAGCTGTTCTCACACATCTTTAGGGCATGTTTGGGGTGATATGCTTGGGCAGGTGTGTAGCAGGCTGTAGTCCAAGAAGGCTTCCCAGAGGAGGTGATATTTTTAGAGCTAAACCTGGTGCCCACTGTCCTGCTGGCTTGTTTCCCCCTCAGGACCTCCATGTTCCCAATGAGGACCGAATCAAGCAGCTGCTGGGGCAGGATGCCTGGACCTCGCAGAAGAGTGAGCTGGCTGGCTTCTACCCCCGGCTCATGGCCAAGTCAGACACTGGCAAGATTGGTTTAATCAATCTGGGCAACACGTGCTATGTGAACAGCATCCTTCAGGCCTTGTTCATGGCTTCCGAGTAGGTGCCACTTTTGAATTCCCTGTCTGCCCCTGCTTCTCTCCTCTGGGCTCCCTGGTGTGTGGGGGTGAGGTAGGGGTTGGAGAGGGTGGGTCCTGCTTTGTGTTATCGGCATAATTCCCTGAGGTCTGTGGGTATGTGAAGGGCAGGTGAGAGTTCCCAGAGGGCTCCAGGCCATTGCCAAGGCAGTAGGTCAAGACCGGATGGGAACTTGAGCTGGGGATTCAGGGGCTCAGCTGCAGTGGGAAGGGAGTCTGTTCTGGGTTGGTCGACATCACTGACTTTTCTGCTAGAGTCCATGGGGGTGGATAGTGTCTTCCACAGTAGGACTTCCACTCATCCTGGCGTTAGATGCCCCCTTTTACTAAAACAAAATCTTTATCATCAGTGGCTACCTATCCAACTTATGGCTTGCTTAGTACATTCACATTGTTGTGCAGCCGTCACCACCATCCATCCCTATAACACTTTTCATTTTGTAAATCTGAAACTCTGTGCCTATGAAACACTAACTTCCCGTATTCTCATTCTCCCCTCCCCACAGCCTTTGGCTACCACTGTTATATGTTTTGTCTCTATGATTTTGTCTCTACTTTAAGTACCTCAGATAAGTGAAATCGTACAGTATTTGTCTTTTTGTGATTGGCTTATTTCACTTAGCAGATGTCCTCAGGGTTCATCCATATTGTAGCATATTGCAGAATTTCTTTCCTTTTTTAAGGCTGGATAATATTCCATTGTGTGTATAAACCACATTTTGGTAATCTGTTCATTGGTAGAGTGACAGACACCTGGGTTGCTTCCATGTTTTAGCTGTTGTGAATAATGCCACATGAACATGGGAGTACAAATATCTCTTTGAGACCCTGCCTCTGATTCTTTCGGTTACATACCCAGAAGTGGAATTGCTTGGTGATATGGTAGTTCTGTTTTTTAGTTTTTTTTGAGGAACCTCCATATCATTTTCCACACTGGCAGCACCAGTTTACATTCCCACCAACAGTGCACAAGGGTTGGGATTTCTCTACATCCTCCCAACACTTCTTTTCTGTTTTTTTGATAATAGTCATCCTAATGGGTGTGAGGTGGTATCTCATTATAGTTTTTAATTTGCTGTTCCCTAATGATTAATGATGTTGAGCATCTTTTCATGTGCTTATTGGCCATCTGTATGTGTTCTTTGGCAAAATGTCTATTTAAATCCATTACCTAGTTGTTGTTTTTTTGCGGTATGTGGACCTCTCACTGTTGTAGCCTCTCCCGTTGCGGAGCACCCTCTGGACGCGCAGGCTCAGCGGCCATGGCTCACGGGCCCAGGTGCTCCACAGCATGTGGGATCTTCCCGGACCGGGGCACGAACCTGCGTCCCCTGCATTGGCAGGCGGACTCTCAACCACTGCGCCACCAGGGAAGCCCCATTACCTAGTTTTTTTTTTTTTTTTAAATTAATTAATTAATTAATTAATTTTTGGCTGTGTTGGGTCTTCATTTCTGTGCGAGGGCTTTCTCTAGTTGTGGCAAGCGGGGGCCACTCTTCATCGCGGTGCGCGGGCCTCTCACTATCGCGGCCTCTCTTGTTGCGGAGCACAGGCTCCAGACGCGCAGGCTCAGTAGCTGTGGCTCACGGGCCTAGTTGCTCCGCGGCATGTGGGATCTTCCCAGACCAGGTCTCGAACCCACGTCCCCTGCATTAGTAGGCAGATTCTCAACCACTGCGCCACCAGGGAAGCCCCCCATTACCTAGTTTTGAATCGGGTTGTTTGTTTTCTGTTGTTGAGTTTGAGGAGTCCTTTTGTATATTCTGAATATTAATCCTGTATCACATACATGATTTGCAAATTTTTTTAAACTTTTTATTTTATATTGGAATATAGTTGTTTAACAATATTGTGATAGTTTCAGGTGTACAACAAAGTGACTCAGTTATACGTATACGTGTATCAATTCTTTTTCAAATTTTTTTCCCATTTAGGTTGTACATAATATTGAGCAGAGTTCCCTGTGCCATGCAGTAGGTCCTTGTTGGTTATCCACTTTAAATGTAGCAGTGTGTACATGTCAATCCCAAACTCCCTAACTATCTGTTCCCCCCACCCTTCCCACCTGGTAACCATAAGTTCCTTCTCTGAGTCTGTGAGTCTGTTTCTGTTTTGTAAATAAGTTGATTTGTATCATTTCTTTTTAGATTCCATATATAAACGATATCATATGATACTTGTCTTTCTCTGTCTGACTTACTTCACTCAGTATGACAATGTCTAAGTCCATCCTTATTGCTGCAAATGGCATTATTTCATTCTTTTTAATGGCTAATATTCCATTGTATATATGTGCCACATCTTTATCCATTCCTCTGTCGATGGACATTTAGTTGGTTCCATGTCTTGGCTATTGTAAACAGTGTTGCAATGAACATTGGGGTGCATGTATCCTTTTGGACCATGACCATGTTTTTCTCCAGATATATACCCAGAAGTGCAATTACAGGATCATATGGTAGCTCTATTTTTAGTTTTTAAGGAACCTCCATACTGTTCTCCATAGTAGCTGTACCAATTTACATTCCCACCAACAGTGTAGGAGGGTTGCCTTCTCTCCACACCCTCTCCAGCATTTATGTTTGTGGATTTTTGATGATATATTTTGACTGGTGTGAGGTGATAGCTCATTGTAGTTCTGATTTGCATTTCTCTAATAATTAGTGATGTTGAACATCTTTTCATGTGCCTCTTGGCCATCTGTATGTCTTCTTCGGAGAAGTGTCTATTTAGGTCTTATGCCCATTTTTTGATTGGGTTGTTTATTTTGATGATATTAAGCTGCATGAGCTGTTTGTAAATTTTGGAGACTAATCTCTTGTCAGTCACATGATTTGCAAACATTTTCTCCCAATCTGTGGTTGTCTTTTCATTTTGTTTATTGTTTCCTTTGCTGTGCAAAAGCTTTTGAATTTAATTAGGCCCCATTTCTTTATTTTTGTTTTTATTTCCATTACCCTGGGAGATGGATCTAAAAAAATATTGCTGTGATTTATGTCAGAGAGTGTTCTGCCTGTGTTTTCCTCTAAGAGTTTTATAGTGTCCAGTCTCACATTTATGTCTTTAATCCATTTTGAGCTTATTTTTGTGTATGGTGTTAAAAAATGATCTAATTTCATTTTTTTACGTGTAGCTGTCCAGTTTTCCCAGCACTGTTTGGTTTTTTTATTTTTGGCAGCATTGGCTCTTTGTTGCTGTGTGTGGGCTTTCCCTAGTTGTGGTGAGCGGGGACTACTCTTTGTTGTGGTGCACAGGTGTCTCATTGAGGTGGCTTCTCTTGTTGCAGAGCACAGGCCCTAGGCACATGGGCTTCAGTAGTTGCAGCAGGCGGGCTCAGTAGTTGTGGCTCGTGGGTTCCAGAGCGCAGGCTCAGTAGTTGTGGTGCATGGGCTTAGTTGCTCCGCGGCATGTGGGATCTTCCCGGACCAGGGATCAAACCCGTGTACCCTGCATTGGCAGGCGGATTCTTAACCACTGCGCCACCAGGGAAGTCCCCCCAGCACCATTTGTTGAAGAGACTGTCTTTCCACCATTGTATAGTCTTTCCTCATTTATAGCACATTAATTGACCATAGGTGCATGTCATTTCTGGGCTTTCAATCTATATGTCTGTTTTTGTGTCAGTACCATGTGGTTTTGATGACTATAGCTTTGTAGTATAGTCTGAAGTTAGGGAGCCTGATTACTTCAGCTCCTGTTTTGTTTTTCTGATTGCTTTGGCTATTCTGGGTCCTTTTTTTTTTTTTTTTTGGCGGTACACGGGCCTCTCACTGTTGTGGCCTCTCCTGTTGCGGAGCACAGGCTCCAGACGTGCAGGCTCAGTGGCCATGGCTCACGGGCCCAGCTGCTCCATGGCCTGTGGGACCTTCCTGGACCGGGGCATGAACCCATGTCCCCTGCATAGGCAGGCGAACTCTCAACCACTGCACCACCAGGGAAGCCCTATTCTGGGTCTTTTGTGTCTCCATACAAATTTTAAGATTTTTTGTTCTAGTTCTGTGAAAAATGCCATTGGTAATTTGATAGGGATTAATTTATTGATCAAATTAATTGATTCACTCTACATTGAATCTGTAGATTTCCTTGGGTAATGTAGTCATTTTGAGAATATTGATTGTTCCAATCCAAGAACATGGTATATCTTTCCATCTGTTTGTGTCATCTTCAGTTTCTTTCATCAGTATCTTATAGTTTTTGGAGTACAGGTCTTTTGTCTCCTTATGTAGGTCTCTTCCTACATAAGGAGGAAAGGTGTATTCCTAGGTATTTTATTCTTTTTGATGCGATGGTAAATGGGATTGTTTCTTGAATTTCTCTTTCTGATCTTTCATTGTTAGTGTATAGAAATGCAACAGATTTCTGTATGTTAATTTTGTAACCTGAAACTTTACCAAATTCATTGATGAGCTTAGTAGTTTTCTGGTAGCATTTCTATGTATAGTATCATGTCATCTGCAGACAGTGGTAGTTTTACTTCTTCTTTTTCAATTTGGATTCCTTTTATTTCTTTTCCTTCTCTCATTGCTGTAGCTAGGACTTCCAAAACTGTGTTGAATAAAAGTGACGAGAGTGGACATGCTTGTCTTGTTCCTGATCGTAGACGAAATGCTTTCAGCTTTTCACCATTGAGTATGATGTTAGCTGTAGGCTTGTCGTATATGGCATTTATTATGTTGAGGTAGGTTCCCTCTATGCCCACTTTCTGGAGAGGTTTTATCATAAATGGGTGCTGAATTTTGTTAAAAGCTTTTTCTTCATCTATTGAGACGATCATATGGGTTTTATTCTTCAATTTGTTAATGTGGTGTATCACACTGATTGATGTGCAGATATCGAAAAATCCTTGCATCCCTGGGATAAATCCCTCTTGATCATGGTGTATGATCCTTTTAATGTATTGTTGGATTTGAATTACTAGTGTTTTGTTGAAGATATTTGTGTCTATGTTCATCAGTGATATTG